AGGGCAAACTAATGAATATCTTTCCCATCGCAGACCGTATCAGTTGTGCGCATCGGTCGGCTTTCCCTTCAGAGGATAGTTGAATGACCTCAGAAGGCGAACCTTCTCAATACTGCTGTCATTTGCAGCGTTCCTTGGTGTTGAGCCGAACAATGCCTCAGAGAGTTAGACTTGGCTCAAGATGGACTGATGAATACCTTTTCTATCGCACACCGTGTCACTTGTGCGCATCAGTCGGCTTTCTCTTCAGAGGATGGTTGAATCCTCAGAAAGCGAACCTTCAGAATACTGCTGTCATTTGCAGCACACACCGGCTTCAAGTTACTCTGCTTTACCACTGCTGTGCCAGGGTACCTGTGTCCGTGTTGGCATCAAGCAGCCTGGCCGTCTCCGTGCTGGCGGTGTTCTTGATCACCACACCGGTTGTGGAGGCAGAGGCCGAATTGCTGACATTCAGTACTCTGGTTAGACACTGCGTTTCGTTAGCCTCGATCTTCAGTATCTTGTTGTTGCCATATTGCAATCGAGTTTCAATTTGTTGTTGTCATCATGTTTCAAACACGTCAGATGTCAGCTTCAAATCGGATAGGCTTTATCTTTTTTGGAGTTTTCCTCTAGACTTTGCTAGAGACTCATAAACCAACCTTGTCAACGGATGCTACCTGAGTCGAGTAGGTCTTGGGCTCAGTCATTTTCTTGGAATATCCAGGAAATAATGTTTAATCATTCTGGATCATAATCCTTGTATGCCCTTATAATTTCCATATGAGTTATCTCATGTTTAACAACATTTTTTGCCAACAAAGCGCACATGGCATGTACGATGATGTACGAGTGCAGACATCACAGGGAATAAGATTCACGCCCACGGAATTGATAGTGTCCATTTGACAGGAAATTCAAGTTTTTTTGCACACACAAGTGTCGCAGGTTACAAGTGCTTTGACACATTGTGTTGACAAATAGGTTGCGGCTTGCATATGCGATGAAGCTGTTCCTGTTTTCAAGTGGAATGAGCAAAGTTTTGGATGACTCGCGTGCATGCCTGGGGATTGGTTGGCCTTTGCATGCTAACCACGGGCATGGCGTGTACAAGCACGGACACGACAGGGAATTAGAGATGTGGACAGAGCTGCGATGCAAGAGGAATGGAGCAAGGGGTACGGCTGCTGAAAGGACAGAGGAACACAGGAGGAAAGGAGACAGGCAAGCGTGTCAAAAAGGATGACAAGTGGTCCTTAGAGGTGGTTATGCAGGGGGTGACATGGGGGAGTGTTCTAAGGCCTACGTATTAACGGGGTTGCTAGGAGCTCGGACTACAGTTCACATAGGAAGAGAACAGAAAGTCATCCCAGGAGCTGTGCTGGTCAAGCGGCGCTTGTGCCCTAACACAGGGCTTCACGTACAGCCATGCAGGACATCCCCTAACAGAGCCAGCGCTAACAGAGCCAGCGCAGGCATAGACCAAAAGGCCGAATATATGTATTTGGGGCATTTTGAGTTGAGGGGCTTCCAGAAATGAGATTTTGGGTAGTCCCTATCGTTAGGATTAACGTGTGTCCAGGATTGAGGACCCAAGACTGTCTGAATTTTTTTCACCATGGCTCAAATTTGGGGTTATTGCCAGGCCTCAATAATTGTTGGCTTGATTCCGTCAGGAGTGTGAGTTTCCAAAACTTGGGTTTAGGGTTTAGGGGTGTGGTAATGCCCATAATCAGGATTGTTGTGTATTACTTCCCCCTTGTTGATGGAAAACACTATGTGACAGTTTCCCAAAATAAGGGGACCCCAATATAGACCCCAATATACTATGATCCTTATTATAGGAACCCCCAAAAAGGTACCCCTAATTTTGGGAACCCCCCATTAACGGGCGCCATAAGAGCGTGGTACCCTTTGCAGGGCTGTGGATATGGAGGTTCTGAGAGTCTTGATGCTAACCCTTGTCCCAAAATTCGGGGTACCTCTTTGGGGGTCCCAATAATGAGGATTACAGTATTTGGGGTCTATATTGGGGTCCCCTTATCTTGGGAAACTACCATATGTATATACATAGACATATGCGTGCATGCATAGCATAGAAGTAATGTCGGGTCCAAGGGGGTTGCGCTTGATAATTTTCATGAAGTTTATGTGCTCTTCTGCGGATGGCTCTGGAAGTGTGGTAACCGAACATTGAGTGGGCAGCCTTGTTGGGTTACATATTTGGTCATGTGTTGCATCACAATAAATCCCGCAAACACCAATGTACGCTCATGATTTGAGGGGCATATGGGCTTACCATAGGCCTGAATGGAACGGGCAGAACCAAAAATTCATTCTGCAGAATCAT